TTTCTTTTACGAATCCTTTTCTGTAATTTTTTGAAAGTTCCCTTTTGCAAATTCTTTTCTGTAATTTTTTGAAAGTTTTCCTTCAGAAATCCTTTCTTGAAATTCTTCATTCACAAATCCTTTTTTGAAATTTTTAGAAATGTTTCTTTCAGAAATCCTTTTTTGAAATTTCCCTTTTACAAAACCTTTTTCGATATTTTTTTCGCAATTTTGCTTCATAAACCCGGAAACCTGAAATCATTTCGCACATTACTCAAAAAACATATCAAACACTTGCACCAAAATACAAAAGTAAGTGTCTTCTCCTGACAAATTACTTTTAAACATCTTAAACATGTTTTTCAATCAAACCTTCCATTCACATTATCGCTAGTTTATCACATATTTAATCTCTCACTCGTCTCCCATCCTCTACCTTGCCTCACGCAAATTTATTTAAGCCAAAGTTTCGTCCACCGGATTCAACCGTTGTTTTAAGGATTGATCATACTTTTCGGATAAAACAGCGACCGCTTGAACCACCGAGAGCTTTGAAAACGGCACGTATTATCGTACACGCTCAAGAGCCATCTCCATACGTGAACACGAGGGGATACGCGTTCGATACCGCAAATGCGAGTTAGGGGAAGGATGTTTGAACGTTGAGCGCGACATCAAAGCTACCGATACTTTTTACCGCCAGTATGATTCTCTGCCGCGTCTTCCATAGTACTCTACATTCGTTGTGTTTGTTGAAGCAGTGATCCGCAACCCTTCAAAATTTTTTCAATCTACGTTGGTCAACCAATGGGGAAAAGTTCTACATTTAATATGATATACGAATAGTAATTTTTGACTGTGAAGTAATATTGCTGTGGTCGTTGAAACAGCGACGAGCAAGCCCTAAAGATTTATGAGATTCATTTTGATTAGATATCGTGAAAAATTTTTTCATTTAGTGCAATTATGAATAATTTTTTCGACCCAATTCGATCAGCTGTCATGAAAAATTTTTTGCATTTAATATGATATACGAATAGTAATTTTTGACTGTGAAGTAATATTGCTGTGGTCGTTGAAACAGCGACGAGCAACCTCTAAAAACTTATGAGATTCATTTTGATTAGATATCGTGAAAAATTTTTGCATTTAGTGCAATTATGAATAATTTTTTCGACTACGAACTATTTTCGTTGTGGTCGTTGAAATAGTGATGAGCAAAAGCGATTAAAATTACAAAAAGCGATTTCTAAGAGAAGCATTTTTGAAAATTTCCAAAAGGATTTGTGAAAGAAAAATTTCAAGAAAGGATTTCTGAAGGAAAACTTTCAAAAAATTACAGAAAAGAATTTTCAAAAGGAATCTTTCCTAAAATTTTTGCAGCCCAATTTTGATGCATTTTAACTATAAAATGTGAACAAATTTTTCTTTTTAATATTTTAACAAATTTTCATAATTTCTAGAAAAATTCCTTAAGTTTAAGTAATATGATCAAAGTAACGATGTCGTTCGTGGTTAAAATCGTAAAAACAGTAGGCGTTCGCAAACTTTCAGAAAATAAAATAAAACGGAAATATATTCGTTGTTACTTAAAAATAAAAAATTCTATCTTAAATTAATAAATCAGAATTTTCAAGATTGCAGCAGCGACCCGTATGGATTATTGAATTTCCATTTTTGGCCCGCTGCGAAAAAAGGTTGCTCATCGCTGCATTAAAGTACCAAGTGGGTGGATTTTAACCGTTGTTTGCGAACAATTTCAGGAAATATATGAACAGGTTTTTTTTATTTCAATTTAATTGCAATTTTTCCGATTAAATCGGCTGCTGTCCGTTTCGAGTACGATCGCGCTACGAACCTTGACGTAAAACTAGATGGAAAATATATTTTTCGCTTCGAGAGGTACACCTTTACTGTTTTTATGAATTCTGCGAACGTGATTTCCCTCTCGGTTTAAACGACACTCGGAAAATCTGTCATTTTTTTTACTATTCGTGTATTATTGCTATGATACCTTCTTGTTAATGCTGCAGAGAGATGTCTAGCTGTATAATTGCATTAAAGTGTCAATTTCGAGACAATTCCACTCACCGGACAATCTCCATATCCTAAATTTTGTCATTAAATTTGTAACAATTAAAAGATGAATCATGCACTCTGAAACAGTCAAATTTCTTGCAAGATTTACGAGTGAAAATAATTACATAAATCTCTTTATCAACGCTGCAGATTCGAGATGTTTAGCTGTACAACAGCATTAAAGTGACAATTTCAAACCATTTCTGCTCATCGAACAATCTCTGCATCCTAATTTCTGTCGTTAAATTTCTAACAATTATAAGATGAACCATGCACTCTGAAACAGTCAAATTTCTTGCAAGATTTATAAGTGAAAACGATTCTAGTGTTACATACGCAGACTAGCCGAGACATCCGCCTAGGGCTCACCCCCTTTGAGATAAAATAAACGAACGCGTTTCGTTCTCATGAGATAATTAGGGCCCCCACCACCCAAAAAATACAGATTTTTGGGTATATAAGGGCATGATTTCCGATGCTCTGGGGCAGTCACTGGGCAGAGTCACTCCGAACTTTAAAGTAGAGCAGTATCCGTACAGTCGCCGTTTGACACAAGCAAGATCGGGCTGAATTCCCTTTCAAGCAACAAAGTATAATACTTATCTCGTAAGTGTCAACTAGACATACTCGTCTACGACGTCCCCGCGTGCTCGCCGTGTAAAGTCGAGAAGGAAGATTCTTTCTCAGCCAAGAATCAACCATTACAATTTATCTTTAGACCATTGTAAACTTTTGTAAACTCCTTGATTATTATTAGAATATAGTTACTATAGAATTGCTTCGGCCTATATTCAATTAACCATCTCCTTGTAACATTAGTAACGAACCAGTTAAACTCACAAAGGATATATCTGTAAGGTAAAAACGGTCAGGATAACGGTGGTGAGCGGTGGAATAAAATATAAACGTGGGCGGTTAAACAGGGTGAATCCTTGTATTTTGAACTCTACTGCACGAGTGCTGATACAATTCTGTCCTTCCTGAAAAAACCTAGTCAAGAGGACCCCCTTGACAATATGGCCTTTCTTAGCCTTGAGGCAAAACTATCCCTAGGAGGGGGAAACGCAGCAGAAGACTGCACATGGCCCACTCAAGCCTTCGCTTTTTGGACTTTTCTAACATATCTTTACCGCTCGAGGTATATCCGACATTACGATACGCACTGTCCTCACAGCCACCAAACCTTTCCATCCTTCGGAGAACGGCGTAATAACCACATGCGTCGAAGGTTCCAATCCTATCGGACTTGTTCGAGTACAACGTATTAACCACATACGTTGAATGTTCTGACCGGTCCATCGCAAGCCTTGTCAACGACGTGTTAACCATACACGTTGAACACCCAACCTTTCCATCCTTGGGAGAACGGCGTAGTAACTACATGCGTCGAAGGTTCCAGTCCTATCGGATTTGTTGGAGTACAACGTATTAACCAGATACGTTGAATATGCTGACCGGTCCATCACAAGCCTTGTCAACGACGTGTTAACCATACACGTGGAACACCCAACCTTTCCACCCTTCGGAGAACGGCGTAGTAACCACATGCGTCGAAGGTTCCAATCCTATCGGATTTGTTGTCAACAACGTATCACCCTCATACGCAGAACGTTCCACCAACCCGAACCAATATTACGCTCCGTGTAATAAATGAAAAAAAGCCTTTATACAATTTCAATGAAACTGCAACGCAGTACAATCGCAGCTATGATTGACTCTTTGTTGAAGCTGCAGATTTAAGATGTCTAGCTCTACACTGGCATTAGAGTAACAATTTCAAGACATCTCTACTCGTCGATTAATCCCGAAATTTTACCATAAAATTTGCAACAATTATAACATAGAATCTATCGTAAGAGCCTCTCAAAATCCAAAATAACTAACTCCACAAAATACAATTTATCAAAATTACTTTACTCGTGAACTCCAGAAAATAAAATTGATCAAAATTACTGTGGGATTTTGTTAAATACTTTTGCGTTTATTATAATAAAAAGTAACCCCACGAGACGCCGGTGCTGTTCACTTATAATCTGCTTCTCTTTTTCTCACCGCTGCTCCGATTCGCTCTCTTCCGGCTTGATGCTTCTCGATTTTTCTTTACACTCACACACCTCACACTCTTCTTCCTTTTCTCCACGCACGCATCCACATACACACACTCACACACACTCACATTCTAAACATAACAAACACGCCACGCACATTCGGCTTCCATTCGTTCTTCCTTTCCAGGCCATTCACATCAACTCTCTCACATTCACTCTTTCATACCAAAACCTCCCACATTACTTTACTCCTGAAAAATTTAGCGCCAAGCATATGCTTTGATACTAAATTTATAAGAATATCAAAAAGTGGAGTTAATGATGATATCTTCAGAATTCACTCTAAAACAGTCAAATTCAATGCAAGATTAACAACTACGCCAAAAACACTTATCCAAATCTCTCTATTAAATCGCGCACCCACCACGTCAATTACCCCACACAATCACGTAGCCAAAAACCGCTTTACACAATTTCGATCGAACCGCAACGCAGTACAATCGCAGCTATGATTGACTCTTTGTTGAAGCTGCAGATTTAAGATGCCTAGCTCTACACTGGCATTAAAGCAACAATTTCAAGACATCTCTACTCGTCGATTAATCCCTGCATCCGAAATTTTACCATAAAATTTGCAACAATCCACAAAATAAAATTTATCAAAATTACTTTACTCCTGAAAAATGAATCACCAAGCACCTGCTTTTACGTGAAAATTACAAGAATATCAAATATGAAGTTAATCATTTCATCTTCCAAGTGTCTCGTACTCGAATGTCTCATACTCGTGTCAAATTTCATGCAAAATTAACAACTACGCTAAAAACACTTATCAAAATCTCTCAATTAAATCACGCACCCACCACGTCAATTACCCACGAAAAAACCGCTTTACACAATTTCGATCGACCCGCAACGCAGTACAATCGCAGCTATGATTGGCACAGTGATTAATAATCATTCAGGGTGGGCATCGATTCGGTCCACGGTATAATGACCGTAAACGCGGGACACAGGCAGACGGAATCAAAGGCATCCTACTACGTATCTGTCGGCACGTGTGATCTATTCCGGTATGTAACAGTCTCTCCTTCTCGTTCCAGCTGCACACGTAGCCGTCCACGAAGACGCGTATCATACCAATTCCGATTGGCAACGATACGGTCCGGAATGCACTTACGACGTCCTGGTGAACATGTCTCTGGCCAATATCGTCCACGAGAATGACAACTTCTGCTCGATGATCGCGTCCGAGCTGAAGTGCCGACCTAAAGGCAGCGACAGCCTCAGCTGTCGTTTCGCGAATGGAAAAATCGTCAGACCTGATCCCGACGACACCAGATGCTCGAACGCGAGAAATTTCGTTCCTATCAGCGAGAAATTCGTGAGCGAGGATCCGTTCGAGATCAGGTTCAATTCGAAGGGAATCGAAAATTTGGTCGTCTCGAGGAGCATCGCTAGGTGGAGGTTGGATATGATTAGAGCGATCGTGGGTCAGTTGAACATCGGGTTCGAGGTGGACAACGAACGCGACAGGTTCGTTACCATGGAGAACTCTAGCTTCGGGCTGTGTGAGGTGGAGGTGATGATGTCGAGGGCGGGATACGGTAGAGGAAGCGACGTCGAGCGTCAGGGACATGTGGAGATTGTCTTTGAACCTGAACGACCGGGTCTCGTGCCCTTGAGCAGGGCGTCGCTTAGGATCGAGAAGATCAGGCACACGAAGATGTGTCCTAATAAGAAGATTTATTTCTTTGGGAACCACGAGGACTTCAGTTTTGGGAATAAGAAGACTTTTATGGATATGGTGAGTTGTTGCTGCTAAACGTGGTAGTGACTGCTTATTTATGTGAAAATGATAGTTTATTTGTGCGAAAGTAAGTTTAATTATGGATGTGAAAAATTTGACACCTAATTCGTGATAGAAAGGAAGAGGACGTATATTTTGTATACTTAGAGTACCTGCTTGTTCTCTAGGCTTCTCTTGTTAATTACTTTTGGGCATTGAAAGAGTCACCCGGTATAATTTGAATGAAATAAACAAGAAACACTGAATTGCAATATTTTGTCAACGAAGACACAATTGTGTAAGATAGCTGAAATAGAAATTTTGAAAGTAGACAAAGATCTGTGAAAAGTTATTCCAGTCGTTTTCCATGAGAATTAAATGTAAACTTTCTCCGAGACATATTTAAACGATAACGATGATAATTTGACGATTTTTTCTTTCATAGACCACACTTATCAGCCAGATGCACGTCTCACACAAGGACATGTACTCGTACACAGAATCCGCGGGCATAATGAAGACACTGAGCAGACCAAGAACGATGCGACTTTATCAGAAAATAAGTCTGTCACTGAAGAGTATAGATCCTGCGCGAAATTCGCTACCGGAAATCATGGAACCTGCGTCAACTAGTTTGTACGCGTATACTAATCTTGAACAAATTTCAGAAGAAGAATAACCACAATGTACAAATATTCGCAATAATTTTAACTTATTCGTCAAGACTTAAAAGAAATGTGAAAGTGTGTGCATGATAAAATGGTACAAAAAATATTTTCCAAAGAACTGATTATTTATTTCATATTCCCTATCTGCGTCCTATTTTATCTCAGATTAACATCAATTCGCGTTCGATTCGTCGATTTGCAAATTAACGTACGCGTTTCATATACGGGGTGTCCTAATTTGTTTTCGATCAAACTTCGCGAATACCTTCTACGGATGTAAGTGAGAACAAAATGTCGTATAAACGTAGGTCGTCTGAAGCTTCGTTAAAGAGTTATAACAAAAATACGAAGGAAATGGTAACGAACTTACGGTTGCTACGATACAAGACAACAGTTGCGCTGGTAAAAGTTCAACGACCTCAGATAGTAAACACAGATCGCGTAAACAAACTATAGAGATATACATATCACTGTCTATTCCTATCTTGTGCCATAATAACCGCACACCCGTTACTGTCCCCTTCGTACTTCGTATTATCGTCGTAACTTTTTAACAAAGCTTCAAACGACCTATGTTCGTATAACATTTTTCTCTTATTTACACCCATAGAACACACCGACGAAGTTTGATCGGAAACAATTGGGACACCCGGTATGTATATTATTGTCACGGAGATATATACGAAAACGCGATCGTTTCGATGAAAGAGGATTACCGTAGAAATACGTACAGAAATTCGGCAATGAACATCGATCGTTGGAACGTCAGTTAAATCGAACAAGCCCAATTAGCGCGACAGTTCGAATGTCGATCGTTTTCGGAACGATTATCGCGTACTCGTTCGCGAATTAAATAGCGAAAAGCTGGGCGTTCTCGAAAAAAAGGATTCTCTCCTCATCGATTTCTCGAATAAACAGTTCAAGGTTAAAGATAAATCTGGCGCTTTCCTCCCTGCTCGAAACGCGTTTATCAAACGTTCTTCGAATCCCATTCTCTGTTTTTAAACGTTAGTTTTTTCCCATAGGAAAGAATCAAGAACTATCAGTGGAGAGACTGTGTCGAGTTGAGAAAATCCAAGTGGAATTTCGAATTTGACTTTGTTAACTCGACACTATCTTTCTAACGATAATTCTCGATTTTTTTACATTTTTAGTAGTAAAATTTCGAATTCTGTCGATCTCGATTCTAGCGATCAATTCGATTAACCCTTCGACAGTTTAAGCGTTAAGCACCGAAGTGTTTAGTTCAAAAGAGACTCTCGGGAAGAAAGTTAGAAAGGGTGGAGACATTATTGTCATAACTATGACGCAGAGTTATGTCTCCCATGTTTTAAAAATTATCACACGCAACGTACTTGTTCAAAAAAAATAATGTAAAATATAAACGTTTTCTAAGGTAATTCGTAATTTTATTAGACTCTCGACGAGTTAACTCCGCAATGTTTCGGCTATTGGAAAGATACGCGTTAAATGTAAACTTTTTCAAAGGTAACTCATAATTTTATCAGACTCCCAAAGGGTTGACTTGTCAATGTTTCGGCTATTGGAAAGATACGCGTTAAATGTAAACTTTTTCTAAGGTAACTCATAATTTTATTAAACCGTCAAAGGATTAACTTATCAGTGTTTTGGCTATTAAAAAGATACGCGTGAAATGTACACTTTTTCAAAGGTAACTCATAATTTTATCAGACTCCCAAAGGGTTGACTTGTCAATGTTTCGGTTATTGGAAAGATACGCGTGAAATGTACACTTTTTCAAAGGTAACTCATAATTTTATCAGACTCCCAAAGGGTTGACATATCAATGTTTCGGCTATTAAAAAGATACGTGTGAAATGTAAACTTTTTCTAAGGTAATTCATAATTTTATTAAACCGTCAAAGGATTAACTTATCAGTGTTTTGGCTATTAAAAAAATACCTGTGAAATATACACTTTTTCTAAGGTAACTCATAATTTTATCCGACTCCCAAAGGGTTGACTTGTCAATGTTTCGGCTATTGGAAAGATACGCGTGAAATGTACACTTTTTCAAAGGTAATTTATAATTTTATCAGACTCCCAAAGGGTTAACTTGTCAATGTTTTGACTTCAATTGGCTGGTCCCACATACGTGAGCTTACCGAACCAAACTTTTCCACTCACGACGGTGTAGCACACGAGGTGATACCAGCTTCTAATGAGCTCTCGCGGTATCCCTTGTAACAAGCTTCCAGTTAGGAACACGTTTCGAGTCCTGGCTGCGATTTAACGGAACGAGCTGACGAAAAAAACGCATTAGACTTTGCTTCCTTCAATTTTTAAAGCTTCATTTCAAATCGCGTTTCGGTAAATTTGCGATATGTACAAGAGAGAAATAAAGTAAAATTAAAATACGAAATATGCTGCGTATCATCGCTCGTATATTCGAAACTGCGTCGTTACTTGTTAATTTTGAAATTCTGCATTCCACTTTATTAATCGAAACGGCAGTTTCACCATTTTTCAATAATTCTAGTAGGTACTTGAAAAAAAAAATTACGTTACAATGCAATAAACCGATCAAATATTCTGCGCAATTGTAAAGGTTAATTTTTTTAACATTTATCGTTCAATTTTAGCTTCATTTTAGATCGTGACCTCTGTTTATTTCGCGATATAATAAACGCGTAGTATTTGTTTCTACATACGCGTCCTCTCAACCCCTTCCCCGGCTGTTTCCTCTCCACGTGTAGTTTCCGCTCGATCGATGCACGTCATGTCCTGGGACTTTCCAAGGTTATCCAGGTTAAACGAGCTAACCAGCTATGTGAAACGCAGTTGCCACTCCTGCTGGCTTCGTTGATAGTACTCGACGGTCAAGGTCACTTGGGATAGTTCGCTGAATAATGATAGAACGTTCCTGGAGAACGGAAACACGGTATTTCTCTAATACTAAATCTGAAGATTTTCGATAAAATACTCGTAAAAAGTGTAAAACGATGGAAATAATAGGGAGCAGAGAGAAGAAAAGCGGATGTGAAACGAATGTCAAGAATTTCCAAAAATCCATATACAGGGTGGCAGAGAGAAGAAAAGCGGATGTGAATCGGATCTCAAGAATTTTGAAAAACCCACATATAGCGTGGCAAAGACAAGAAAGGTGGATGTGAAACGAATATCAAAAATTTTGAAAAAGACATACCTGTATAGGGTAACAAAGATAAGAAAAGCGGATGTGAATCGGATCTCAATAAAAGAATTTACGCACTGTCTACTAAAACCACTGGAGACTAAAATCTAGGCAACTAAACTCGACGACCAAACACAGCAACTAGAAAGTTGTCGGTGTCGTTGTATAAATTTTTCTTTATTGGAGATCGTCGTTACGTCTGGTCTGGAAGAAAGATGCCCGTCGTGTGAACGTGTGCATTTGATTCGATGCACTTTGATGTGTCACCGCGATCAAGTCCGTATGAACTCATATATTCTCTTGAACGCAGTGATTGCCGGCGACTGGCCGACAGTGCGTAACGGCTCTAAATCTAGAATCTGATACTAAATCTAAACAGTCTCAATAAAATACTCATAAAAGAATAGGGTAATCTATGCTTCCATACATGTATAGGGAGCAGAGACAAGTGGATGTGAAACGAATCTCGACAATTTCTAAAAACCAATACTAAGTTTCCAAGAACTCACATACAGGGCAGCAAAAAAGAAACAAAGAAAGCAAATGAGAAACGAATCTCAAAAATTTCCAAGGACCCATATTAATTTTCCAAAAACTCACATACAGGGTATAAAAAAAAAGAACAAAGAAAGCGAATGTGAAAAGAATCTCAAAAATTTCCAAGGACCCATACTAATTTTCCAAAAACTCACATACAGGGTAGCAAAAGAAAAACAAAGAAAGCGAATGTGAAAAGAATCTCAAAAATTTCCAAGGACCCATACTAATTTTCCAAAAACTCACATACAGGGTAGAAAAAAAAAAACAAAGAAAGCGAATATGAAAAGAATCTCAAATAATTACTAAGAACCAATATTAATTTTCCAAAAACTCATATACAGGGTAGCAAAAAAGAAAAAAACAAAGAAAGCGGATGTGAAACGAATTTCAAATAATTTCCAAGATGAAAAGAATCTCAAAAATTTCCAAGGACCCATACTAATTTTCCAAAAACTCACATACAGGGTATAAAAAAAAAAAACAAAGAAAGCGAATGTGAAAAGAATCTCAAAAATTTCCAAGGAAACAAGAGTAACTCGTCGAAATCACACATAAAGAATGCAAAAAGGTACCAACAACCCACAAAAATCCACTCTAAAACACAAACACTATTACAAAAAGCGACCAAAAAATGAAAATAATAAAAAGCAAAGAACCACGAAAATCTAGGATAACAGTGGCACAAATAATCTGTGAAAGCTCTAGAAGCAAGGTCGACCTTGAAGAGGCCGCAACATTCGCCCCACTCCCATAGCTAGCTGTTGCTTCAGCCGGGTGCAAGCCTAGCCGCTTCCGGCCGCGCGCATCTTCCGCCTTACGACAGGTGCTGGTGCCCCTACCACCGGTTGCTCTCGAACACAAATGCACCGCGGGGATGTGGCATGAAGTAGCAGCTCGAACACCATAGGTAGCAGCCCCCCACCTGACGAAAGAGGGGTGAGCTTGGGAAACGGCGGCTCTGCGCCTGATCCAGCAAACCGTTTATATATCACAGCCGCGTATACCGTAACGTATTCCGCTTCGCGAACTTCTTTCCATTGGTTTCGTTTTTATCTCGACACACCTTGTTGCGAAACAAGGCTTACCGTCTCGTTGATAAATTCGAGAGATTGTCGAAGATTAGAAGAGAATACTAAGAAGATTTTGACGTGTAAACAGCTGATCGTTCATTTCTGTTTACATCAACAGGTGGGTGTTGTGTTTAAGTTTGGTTGGTTTCGTTCAACCCTTTCGTTGCGACGAATTTTAATACGTAACGTGCGTGGCAGGCTGTAAATTTTTAATCACAGGTATAAAATTTGCTGTTTTCGGTTTACT